TGTAAGATTTTTAGAATCTAAGATCTTGAATATATCTGTACCATGAATAAAAGCCTGTACGCCAAGATGATCACATAGATTTTCAATGTTCAACTCTTTACCGAGGAAGTTATAGACTTCACATCGATACTTCTCTATATGCATAAATTTTTTACCTTTATAAATAGGATGTAAAAAATTAGCAGTTAAAATTGATGGCCTTATGACTTTTTTCAGTCTCTCTTCCATTATTTTCTCATAGTTATCATTAACCGTTGGTATAGTTAATTTAAACCATTCTTCGCAAGCATCTGCTATGTTACTATCGGATCGCTGACATTTATTAATAAGTGCGCAAACAGGATCAAAAATCAATACGTAGTCTTGAAGTGTTTTTTCAAAATCTTCGCTAAATAACATTTCCGAACATTCAGTCTTAATAGTAAATTTCTGATCTTTTATTATTTGACGCATTATCGATAAATTTTTTAAGCAACAACGAAATGCATCTCTATAGCTACACCATCGAGTTTCGCAAGCAAGAATAATTTTTTGTCCTCCACTTTTTATCATTTCTTTTTCTGGACCTGGTTGCTTAAATTCTCTCAATAATTGATTCACAGATTCAGCATATTTTGCATTGACCAACGATTTTGCTAATAAGTTACCGCTATGGCTTGCACAAGTTACATGCCACAAATTAACTGATTTACCCATTAATATCATTGCAGAAGCATTGTCTGATACGACGGCATAAATATGAATATTGAATTTATTCTTAGCAATCTCCGTTGCTTCATTTACAATTTTTGTTAGTGCGAGTCCTGTTTCCTTTTCACCAGTTAAGTCCCATGAATTGAGGGTGAAGTCCCATATATACTCTTGTCCATTACTGTATGTATTGTATAGACAACTAATTTGCTATTGGCAGCAGAATTCTTCCAACAGAATTAACAGTACACCTACTGTTTCATGCTTCTTCACGCTTTTAGTTATTATTTCATCGTGAACCTTATCTAACAATTGATTTGAAAGTTTTTTCCTCGATGGAATTTTATAATCAGGATTCAGCAGTTTTATAAACTCTTTAAATAAGTTGGATTCAACAACATTTAAGGATATGTTACAAAGAAAAATTTTCCTAAGGCCGAATCAATTAAATCACGTTTTATTTTGTCTGCGCTCATTTTCAAATCTAGATAAATAGAAAAAAT